ATTTCCTAGTCATCTGAGAAACAATATCATAAATACGTTTATATTCAGTGAATTTTTGAGCGCATAACACTTTTTTCCCCTGTTGATTGGGAAATTCTATGGGCAAAAATCAATCAAGTTAAAACAGTCAAATGCCTAAGGTGCACTTCTAAACTCAAGAAAAGTTCACAGATAGAAGCTAGTTGGCACAGTGCAAAAACTCTGCCCCCTGAACCTTACAGTCATTGAATAGAAAATTGACTGAGATTCAGAATCAGTGACTACTATTAGCTACTATAGTTGATCCCTTAAAAACCCAGAGGTGAGGAGCACTGACCCCATATACAGCGGAAATCCAGAAAAAAACGTTTGACTCCCCAAAACCTCAACTACAGTAGGCCCTTTGCACCTGCGGATTCAACCAACCAACGGTGGGGAATGCGAAAATAAAATACCGTTTTTAATCAGGGTTGGCTGAATCTGGGAATGCGAACCTTGGTGATATGGAGACCGACTCTATATTTATTGAAAAAATACGCATATAAGTGGACCTGCACAATTCAAATCCTGTCTATAAACTGCCATTATGACATTCCTGTTTAAAAAAAAGGGGGGAGGGGGGTGTCATAAGACCCAAAGGTCCATGTTATCAAGTAAGCCAATTTAATTTTGTAATTGAGAAATGGGTGTCAAGTTCAACAGTTAATAAGTTTGAAATGTCTTAGCTTCTGGACTAAATTTTCCAAGAAACAATATCCCCAAACACTAGTTGAGCCAAGACCTCTTAAATTTTGGAGCCATCTCCTCCTCCTTCAGGGTTTTTACCCCCTCACCCCCACCCCAAGGAGTTCCGAAAACAGTGCCATCCCTATCAGAAAAGAAGTACAGAGATACCATGACTATGAAGGAGAAGGGGTTCAGCGAAGACTGGAACCCTACCAGAACCTTTCAGCAGACCCTGTGATGAGGGCCCTAACTTGCCTCTAAAACACAACTCCGCATCAACTTACAATACACAGGCAAACTGGAATGCCTAGGCGAGAAGTCGGTAAAAACAGCAAAATGATAACCACATTCACGTGCACAAGGATATAGCTAGCTGCACACTGAGCGCTTTACTGGTCCCAACAACCGAATCAGGGGGAAACGGGCTTTCATGAAGGAGCTAGGTCCGAAACGCGCCTCAAGCCAATCCAACTCTGGAGGCAGGGACACTCCAAATTCTAAACCAACTTCCAACCACGCGAGCTGCACCAGCACCAGCGCTACCTGGCTCCCTTCCAGCCTCTCCAAGTCTCCAAAGCACCTCCAGTTAGAAGCAAGGCGACCGGCACAAAGGCCAGGCATCTGAAGGCGCTTGGCCAAGCCTGGCTGTGCCACTGCGCTCATCTGAGAAGCCCTACACTGGGGGCTCACCGGCCCCCCCGCCCTCACCCCCACCCCGCTACCCGGCCTCAATCCCGCCGGGGAACCTCAGCCGGGGCGCCCCCTCGGCCTGGAACAAAGCGAGGCCCCGGCGGCGGGGGGAGAGACGCCGGGCTCGGGGATGCCCTCCGCGCGCGCGAGGAGAAACCAGCAACTTGAGGGCGCAGGAACGCCTTCCATTGGCAAGAAAGAGGGGCGGCGGCAGGCACGCCCAACTTCAAACTCAGGAAACCTACGGGCTGGCGGCCATCTGGGAGAAAAAAACCCTTCCCAGGG